CGTGAGCCGAAATCAAGAGTCAGATGCTTAACTGACTGAGACACCCAGGCGCCCCTAAAAGGAATTTTAAAATCGTGCTCCCTTGGTACATTTATATCACATAAAAGAACATGTTGGTGAGTTAAAAATGTCAGTTTCGTCAAGTAAAATATATATGCAGTACTATAATTTATTTTCTTTCCCTGTGTTTTACACCTTTTTTATGGATAGCTTCCTCTGTATCTGCTTTACTGGGTGTACTCAATTATCCTATAGTAATTGGGCAATAACAGATATGACTGAAATCCCTACCAGTTTAGTTTATCTTGAGCCCTATGATGACACATAGTTATCTCAAGAGCTTGTGACTATAATCATGTGAAAGTCCTGTCGAAATGAAAAATTATGTCTGACCTCAAATGAAAGGACTTGTGTAAAATAAAGTGCCAACACATCTCATATCAAATGCCAATCTTGTACATGTGAATGTTTTTCTCCGAGAACATATAAAAGTCAATAAGATCTGCTTACTTTTCATATTAAAAAAACAGTCTGCCTAGAGGATTCATCCTGTTGGAGATCTGGTGCAACGTTTCCAAACCCGGATTTGATTTATCTACTGATTAAATGTGGCTTGAGTTCTAATAGTTCCACTCTCTTTAGAAAAATCCAGAAAGATATCCAGTGGCATTTCCGAAGCGTACTTGGTAGTTCTTTGAGTGACGGATGAGATCAATATTGGAAATTCCTCATTCAACTCACCTCTCCGATCTGACAGCTGGACTATCACAGTAACCCAATCACACTGATTTTCTTGAGACTTTCTTGAAAGCTGTTCCAGGAAAAGCATTCTAATAACGTTGTCAGCAGTGGATGCATCCTCATGCTTCCTGAGTCCTCCTCTTTGAAGCCCTTTGAATAAATAAATTCTGATACGTGTTAAAATGCAAACTTAATTTTAACTCATCTGTCTGTGAAAGGCAGCCAGTATGATCTCTCACAGAAGACCGGGAGCTTAAAACTGGCTTGAGCCATCAAGACATTTTCGACGACTCCAAGGAGATGTCTGGGATGTCAAGCATGTCTCCTTAGAAGTCGAGGTCTTCACGATTGCCCCCGTTGAATGTTGAGAAGCGCCTTCTTCTCGCGAAAAATACAGAGGCTTTTGTACCAAGGAAGCACACATACGTTTTCCAGTTTATTGCTCATCAATTGTGTGCTTATAAAGGAGATGAGTAGGCTTAATCTGAGGAAGATGCTACAGAAATATCTTCTTTACCATCTGAGCTTGAGGCAAAAAGAGAACTTCATCCTGCCACAACTTAAGGGCTTGGTATGTGACACCCCTGGGTCCTTATATTATCAGAGAAAGCTTCTGGGAAAAGGTAGACTTGGAACTGATTGTGGGAGGAGAAAAAGAGGATAACAAGGCATGAATCTGGCCAATCTGAAGGAGAAAGAATCCTGGAAAGAGGGGTCATCTGTTTAAAAGAAGAGAGAAGAAGGGCACCTGGGTGGCTCAGTCAGTTGAGCATCAGACTCTTGATTTCGGCTCAGGTCATGATCACAGGGTCATGGGATTGAGTGCCGCAGGGGGTTCCGTGCTCTCTCTCCCTCTGCCCCTCTCCCCCATTTGTGCCATCTCTCTCTAAAAAATAAATAAAAATAAAAAAGCAATAAAAGGAAAAGAAGGAATAATGGTAGAGAGCGTGAGAGAATTTAGCCTGATGAGACCACAGCTTGAAATAAGGCATGCTAACTGGAAGCCTTTAAGCTTATGGGGAGAGCATGAAATTTAATGTGGAGGGAAACAAATCTTTGATGATCTTCAGGTCAGGAAAAATCATCAAAATGAAGGATATATTAACTCTACTTGGCAGGTATTTTATTAGCATCATGCTCTAACTGAGCTAACCAGCCACATTATACCAGGGAGATATTTTATAACAAAGTTTTTCAGCAATACCCTTTCTTCTGGATAAAGTCAGCAGAGGATTATCTAAAATACGTAAGAGAATAAGCACCTTTTAAATGATACAACCTGGTACATATAAGTAAATGAGTTTAAATCTTCACATAATACCTGTTGAATTGACTAATTGAGTACAATATGGTAATCATAAATAGTTTTATCATTTTTTTTTAAGTGGTTCCTCATGGATCTTGACTTAGAAGGCTATTGGGGTTTTTAGCTTTATGTGAATTGCTGCATTAACTTCAAAGAAATGATATTGTACTTTCATTAAAATATTCTTTAACTTCATAAACTCATACTTTTCTGGATTAATCTCTCCTGTGTTGGCCACTCATGGTGCCTGCTATGCCTTGCTGCCTGGAGGCGAATTTCCTGCCCACAGCTTCTTGCTGAGGGAGCAGACATATGTGACCAAGTCTGTCCCACATGACAAAGGCAGGCACAGCTGAATGCACCAAGGATGGGTACGAGACCCATGGGCTGGCAGTCCAGAAGCTGACTGTAAATTAAGAGGAGGGCCACTTCTAAAGAGCTCCCTGTCAGAAGCAATGATGATTAGTTGGACCGCTCAGACTTCCTTTCAGGAATCTGAATATGATACTTGGGGAGAGAACCAGTCAGCCCATAGTGGGTGGATACATGAAAACACCTCAAAAGGAGACAGGGAGGAAATTATCAAAATGGCTGAGGGGCATTTCAGGGCTGAGGTGGGGACAACAATCTCCTACCAATGCCTGACAGTATTCCATCTCCACGAAGCTGGCTGAGTGGCTATATCTGCTCTCAGAGAGTTTTGTCTCCCTGCTGCCATATGTAACCTCACAATCCAACGCCATTCCTGAAACAGCCTGAATGAGGCACTTGCCACCGTAGAACCCCCACCCCCCAAATCTAACTAACACGTAGTCCAAAATTTGGTACAAAGATGTTCAATTTTACTTTTACTAATTTTAAGAAAGACATTTTGGGAAACAATATTAGCCACCACATACGGTTTGAATGGGCTTATTATTAAAATGGGTTGGCCAACTCAACAGAAACATCTGCCAAACCAACCAAACAACACAAGACAGAATTATGTTGAAGATGCCACTGTCATCATTTTGAGGATAAAAACTAGGAGGATCAATGATGATGATTTTCTTCCAGAGCAGATGTAAGGTTGTGGCTTGTTTATCCCTCGAGTTGGGTTCTTTACGTGGTTTGTTAAATAGCATGTCATCAATAGGTCTGAGTCTTCACGTTTAAACATTTTCCCTCAATTTTTTATTACCGATAAAAGCAGAGGGCAACACTCTTTGGTCATTTACCTACATACTTGTTTGTTCTGAGAACATTGCTCAGGGCACAGATTTCAAAAAGGACCAGCTATCGGAGGGCAGCAGAAAAATATATGACATGTTGGAACATTGTGCAGAGGGTGAGCAAGCCCTTGAACCGTGGCTGGGGAACCTGGATTCTAGTCAATTCTGCCGCTGGCAAGCCATGTTATTGTGGCCAAGTCCCTTTCCTTGTCTGTAAAAGGAGGGAGCTGTGATCCTGAAATTCTCTGCGTTGTGTTATCTCCCCTACAAAAATCATAAACTCCGCCAAAGCAACATTGTCTGCCTTATCTGCTTAGGGCTCAATCCAAGAACAGTTCCTATTCTTGCAGGTGCTTAGGAAATACTTGGTGATCTTGAGCAGTTCACGCTGTATGTTGCTTACTAAAAAGGCTCTTTTTCATGTATGGAGTCTTAGCTATCCTTCAAATTGCTTTCACATAGGAGGCCCTCAACACTCACTGGTCTGAGATATCACATTTGGTTCTCAGGGGGTCCACGCTTACTTGTTAATACAGAAATTCAGGCATGGAGAAGCCGTATACAATGGGAAGAGGGGTGGCCTGTGAGTCGAAAGACCTGGCCCACCACTAACTACTGTGTGACTTTGGGCAAGTCTTTCTTTTTCTCTAAGGTTCTGTTTTCTGGTGGCACACCTCTGGTCCTGTTATACCTGTTATGTACAACAAATGGGTGTTAAGAATAGAAGAATCCATCAGGAAGGATGTGGAGCTGTAGGAGGAATGTAGTCAAAGTAATTAATGCAGAGGCATCAGTCCATTAGAAACATCAAGACAGGCAGACTCTGTTTTTTATATGCACCGCCTAAAATCCTTTATAAGCATCAACTAAGGTGGTTCTTCCTTTGCTCTTAGTGGTTCATCAAAGCAGGTCACTGACCTCAGCCACATCTGCCACCATACTCGCTGTCATGGGGTGCTAAAACCACGGGAGGAAGCTGCCAGTTTGCTGCCAGCTTGCAAGCCCATGAAATGTCGGTGTTATTTAGTATACCCAATTGTGGGGATCCCGAGGATTTTGCTATAATTTTTGTTGCAAATTCTGGGTTACTCATTTAGGGTCCCTTTATAAAACATGACTAGAGGATCAATCTAGTAGTAAGTTGCTACTGACCTCCCTCTCTCTCTCTCTCTTTCTCTAAGAGAGAGAGAGAGAGAGAGAGAGGGAGAGAGAGAATCCTAAGCAGGCCTCTGGCTGTCAGTGCAGAGCCTGATGCAAGGGTTCATCTCACGAACATGAGATCGTGACCTGAGCTGAAATCAAGAGTCAGACGCTTAACCAACTGAGCCACCCAGGCATCCCTGGACCTCTATATTTTGTCACATTAATATGGCCCTATTTTTTTCAGACCAAGGTCTTCTGGCCCCATTAGTAAGAGGTGCCAATTTGTTTTTGCATTGCTAAGGAAGGGAATCTTTCAGTTGCACAAAGGAAGAAAGAGACACATAATCAAGGTAGGGTGGCCAGCAAGATTGTAATTTTGCTTGAGAGTGTGGTCTTCTGATGATGGGTCCCAGATGGATGGAATGGGCTAGGAAGCAGGGGAGGAAGGATGAGCCCATACTCTGTTGATAGTGTGACTCAGGACTCCCCAGCAACCCATCAGGGCTCCATTGGGATGATCTTCTGAGTTTTCACTGCACATGTTTCCTATGGACTTTGTATTTCTGCATCTTCCTGGGAGCTTGGTTTAGGCAGTGGGATGAAACACTCTTGTACAGGATCAACAGTCTGGAAAAGAAGAAGAAATCCATTGTCAACTTTCTGAGCCAACACAAGGGATGATACTCTCCAGAGCTACGTTTGAAATACCATTTCAGCTTCATTCAGTCCTTTGTTGATAAAGAAAAAAAATATTGAGGCTACCCACATCAGAACTTTGTTTTACCATCTTCCTTCTTAGCCAGTAACAAGAATCTTTTTGCAAGATTCTTGAAGAGCTGATCACTGGACATCGAAGTAATCCAAGAAATTCTTGGAGAAGGTATAATAAAGATCTCATCATGTAAATGCCCTCCAAAGGGTTAATGACGGCAAACGATCTATCTGTATCCTGGGCTGTGTGCCATTCCAGGAAAAGGCAAAGTCTCAGATAACAGACCAGAAGGATTAGGATTAGTTAGAGTTGCCGTGTACGGTCCATCAAACAAACAATCTGAGCATGACTTTCACCCTCAGATTTCAGTTACAGGGATCAAAATACAAGAACCGTGTCCCAGTGTGGTATTTTTGGCTGCCTGCATCTGTGTGCCCTCAAGCCATCGTGGCACAAACGCAAGTTGCCTCCCCTTCTGCTCAGTAGCGCTCCCTCTGCTTTTGTCTGAAAGAATTAAAATCGGTTACACCCATCTGCTGATGGTGGTGACGGACCTAACCCAGTTCTTGGGGGCAGCCTGAGCTGCGGGAGCTAGACGGTGACTCAGAGAGGCAGCCAGCGGGGCTCAGGGGATCATCTAGACAACTGATAGATACTAAAAGCAGATGTGACCTCATTCATATTCACAAGTCCCTGTTGTCCCCAAGGCAAAAAGCAGCGAGCTTGCTCCTCTTCACCCTCGCAGGAACCCTTCAAGCTGCCTTTTCTTTCCAGCGACATTCACCTATATTGGAGTACATCGTTAATGGAGGGGCCATGGGGATTTGGAGGGGCTCGGGCAGAGACAAAGGCATTATATCTGGATGACTCAAGCTGCACAGACTTGGAGGGACGAGCCTGCCCTGCCTGTCCTCTCTCAGGTCAGTAAAGACATTGGAAATGAAGCCTGACAGCTCTCCTGTGGAAGGTGGGCTTGCTATATCCCTCCTTGGTGATTGTAGACGAGCACATTTACCTGCAGCTGAATGGGGGTACCATATGAAGTTAATGCTACATCCTCCTCAGCTCCATCACTGTCTCGGGCTGAAAGCCAAAGGAGGGAAGGGCTGGGTTAGTGTCAGAGATTCACGTGGAAATAGCACATGAGGACTATGAGGAGACTCAAGGGCTTGCAAAGAGGTTCTTGGCCTTTTAGAAAGGAATTCTCATTCGAGGCTGATTTTTTTTTCTTTTTCCCGTGAATCTATGATTTAAAAAAAGAGGGCTTGAAAGCTCATGAGGAAGGTTGACTATGGATGGCGTATGTGTGTTCAGGACATAGAATAATCCCATGCGCGGTTATGTGTTTAATGTCGGTCCCCTCAACAAGACTTTTGAGCTGTATCTGTCTCCGAGGTCAGGCCCTTGCGCATTACGTATCTGTTGTTTGATGGTCACAGAGATGGCCATGCCCCAGTGTTCACACTTAGGGGCTCTCTCGCTAGCTGTGTGACCTGGGGCCAAGTTTCTTAACCTTTGGTTGCCTTTGTTTCCTGATGCGAATAAAAGGGAGATCATGATGATCATAATAGCAAATGTCCTTCATAGGATTGTCTTGAGGATTAAGTCGTTCAATATGTGTACGACCCTTGGAGTAGGGCATGATCATCGAAAACACCATATTACTGTACTCTGCATATTATTACCCACGGTGGTGCTGGTGGTGTGGTCATACGTGATGATCTGACATTGTCTTCCCACTGTCATTTTTTTCTAGAGGGTTGGACCCTGTGAAATATGAAATGCTATTCTTTCCTTCATGACAGAATGAACTGAATTCTCGGTTTAACTGTGTTCCTTGAGGTATAACGAGACTCCTTCACACTCAGCTCCTTAGGGACCGACATCCACCCAACATTCTCATCAGACTAGACTAGACACCAGAGAAGCTTCATGCTCCAGAATTCTCCAGGACTGGCTGCTGTTCATGGATTTACCAAAGGAAAACACCAAAGTGTTTTCCTCTTTCTGTTCATCCTGCAGCCACTTCATGCTGTGAAATCTGAGTTGAGTAAGGAAGACCTTATGTTTATACAGGGAGGAGGCAGAGACATTATAGCCATCATTTAGGCAAGGAGCCTGAGCTTCTAGACGTTGAGGAGCTTGGTTTGGTCTCAAAGTTGGCAGGAAGCAGAGCTGAGCCTCAAGCCAGGGCATCTAGATTCTGTGTTCTTTCTGCTGCCCCATGCTGCACAATTATCTCACGCTCTCTGGATCTTTAGGAATGTCACACCTGTGCCTTATCCGTCCTCAGACCAGACAAATCCTGCCCAGACTCACTGTAGTCTTCCCTACTTTATACCACGACTCTCTCTGTAACCTGTAGCTCTTGAAGGTGATAAAACAGCAGTTCTGAGAGTTGTTCCTGAGAAAGAGCAAACAAAAACTACACCACTTGGGACCACTGAAATTGGGTTTCTCCTAGGAAGGGGGGTGCCTTGAAGAAAAACATGCTGAGAATTGTCAAAAAGGGCCGTGCAGGGGCGTCTGGGTGGCTCAGTCAGTTGAGCGTCCGACTTCAGCCCGGGTCACGATCTCACAGTCTGTGAGTTCGAGCCCCGCGTCGGGCTCTGTGCTGACAGCTCAGAGCCTGGAGCCTGCCTCAGATTCTGTGTCTCCCTCTCTCTCTGCCCCTTCCCCGCTCATGCTCTGTCTCTCTCTGTCTCAAAAATAAATAAAAACATTAAAAAAAAAATTAAAAAAAAAAAAAGGGCCGTCCAGCAAAAGCTCGTATTTACTATAAGGCAAACAGCCCAATGAATGGGCTTAAGTTTGCGGGAACATTCTCTTGATTCACATCATTTTACAGTCATTGAACCACTTTTACACTGCATAGACTCATTGTTTTTATCTTAAAGCCTTCAAAAAGAATCATGCTAGGTTTGTACACCTTCAAACAATGAACAGAAAAAAATGCCCACAATAATGTGATATTTTAAAATATACATGGGTCTTGGGGTGCCTGGTTGGCTCAGCTGGTTAGGCGTCTGACTCTGGATTTTGGCTCAGGTCATAATTTCACAGTTTGGTTTGTGAGATGGAGTCCTGAGTCAGGCTCTGCGCTGACAGTGTGGAGCCTGCTTGGGATTCTCTGTCTCCCTCTCTCTGCCTCTCCCCTGCTCATGCTCGTGTGCATGTGTGCGCCCTCTCTCTCTCTCAAAGTAAATAAATGTTTAAAAAAGAAAAAAAAATATATATATATATACATGGGCCTTGCTTATAGCAAACTTGATATAACAATATCTTAAGTAAACTAGGGCAGATGAAGTAAGCAATATTTAGAATAGAAGATTTCCCTTCACAAAAAAATTTTAATGGCTGATATTCTATATTTAAGATCTCCACAAATTATATTGCATTTAAAATTCTCGGTTAAAAGGGGGCGCCTGGGTGGCTCAGTTGGTTAAGTGTCTGACTTCAGCTCAGGTCATGATCTCGTGGTTTGTGAGTTCAAGCTCCGCATCGAGCTCTGTGCTGACAGCTCGGCCTGGAGCCTGCTTGGGATTTTGTGTCTCCCCCTCTCTCTGCCCCTCCCATGCTCATGCTCTGTCTCCCTCTGTCTCTCAATAATGAATAAACGTTAAAAAAAAAAATCTCAGTTAAAAGGACAACTGGTTTAAAAAATATAATCAATATACAGCTTTCTAGGAATGCATTTATAATAGAGGGCAAAGAATATTTATAACCATTTGTTTGGTGTCCTGTGGGAACATGCCTGAGTGCATTTTTATTCTCCACCCGGATGTTTTTAGATCTCGGAATTAAGTTCATAAGCCACGTCAGAGACATAAAGCCTAATCTTCTTTTGAAAGAATCCCAGGGAAATAGAGTCCTTAATCCCCTTTGCTGATCTATTTCAGTGTTTACTAACTCTTATTTTCACAGTCAATCTAAATCCTTTGTGCTTTGGTTTGAGTTCACTTCTACAGATTGTCTTTAGTTGGAGACAGAAAACAGGACAACAGCCTCTTGGAGAGAGGTCTTCATACTTGTGAAATTCCCTGCTACTCTCCTCTTGTCTTTCTCTTCTTTCAGGTGAATAATTCTCATCTCACAACCCAGTGGTCAATCAAATAATTATGTGACTGGAGTCACAGCTACAGGCAGTATTTAAAAAAAAAAAAAAATTTTTTTTTCAACGTTTATTTTTGGGACAGAGAGAGACAGAGCATGAACGGGGGAGGGGCAGAGAGAGAGGGAGACACAGAATTGGAAACAGGCTCCAGGCTCTGAGCCATCAGCCCAGAGCCCGACGCGGGGCTCGAACTCACGGACCGCGAGATCGTGACCTGCCTGAAGTCGGACGCTTAACCGACTGCACCACCCAGGCGCCCCTACAGGCAGTATTAATCAGAAGAGTCTCATGACAAACGCATGCCTCATGGGCTCACACAAAATGTCATGTTTCGGTATACAGAATTTAGAGAGAGAACTGGCATGGTCTGTGAGGAAGGCACCTTAAGAACTACTGTCTATTCCATTGTATTAACCTTTCCACATGGGTCTGATGTTATAACCCTTTAACTGTCTTTGTGGTTTTCCCTCAGCCTCCCCAAGTCCCCCACACTTCTCATTGGTGGATCCCAGGACTGGAATGGGTATTCTTGTTGGCGACTGGCTGACTGACGCCTGATTGTTCTTGCTGACCACACGTCTATTTAGCACTGTGTTTCTTGAGCCAAGGAAAACAAAGGCAGTGGTAAGCTGCTTGCCTATTGCTAGCTTGTGACCTATAATACGTACGTAGGGTTTCTCAAGTTCTTGTTATCGTACTCTTCTAGTCTGGCTCTTATCTATTTTGTGTCTACTGGTATGTTTTCCTGAGCTTGGTGGAATCCTCTATTTTGTACTGAGTTTTAATTATTCTTCTAAGTTTTGATATTTGTAATTTTTCCCAGGTGACCTAGATTCTGATTCTGTTGTCCCAGTTTAAGTTTCTGGTTATTCTGACCAATGTGGAGAGCAATCTGTATGTCCTTTACTACACTACTGATTTATTATTATTATTATTTTTTAACACAACATCAAACTGGGGGCACCTGAGTGGCTCAGTTGGTTGAGTGTCTGATTCTTGATTTCGACTCAGGTCATGATCCCGGGGTCGTGGGATCAAGCCCTGTGTTGGGCTCTGAGCTGAGCGTAGAGCCTGCTTAAGACTCTCTCTCTCTCTCTCTCTCTCTCTCCCTCTTTCCCTTTGCCCCTCTCTCCCACTCATGCTCTCTCTCTGTCTACAATAAAAACAAACAAAACACCAAACTGCTTTGACAGTGACTGTCACTGGCAGGCATTTCCTGCTCAGAAATGGATTTTCTAACCATGCTCGAGTAACAAGGATAGTACCAAGCCCTTGGTCTTTCACCAAACCCTCCTTAGAACACTTAAAACACTTGTGTTTTGGGGTATGGACTCTTGATCATTACAAGTCCCAGTATGTATGGGGTATTATACAATTCTAAGAACCCCTCTCTCTCTCTCGGCTTTTGTTTCTTGGAAATATACAACGACAATAAAACAACACAAGAAATTTTATCTAATCTTCTGGTGAGAACTACAAAACGTAGTTTCAGGGATTGACTCTGCAATTCTGCCATAAACCTTAGTGATCTGATGACGCACCATCAACAAGCAAGGAAAAACTGTTAAAGGAAGGATGTATAGCATCAATTTCCGACTCTCGGTCAACTGAACTGAAAAGAATGAATGGCTGCATCTCTCTGAACAGGATTTAATTTGAATGTGTAATTAGCCATAGATGACAGCTCAAAAAAGTGTATGCACTTAAAGGGAAGGCTTCTATTAATTTTTTTGAGCCTGGTGAACATTATGTGTGATATACATTTAAAATAACATCATTTTGCACATTAGAAATAAATTGTGAGGAATCAGATGCCTATTAAGACACAAAAATTGATGTAAAACTATGATATTGGGTTATGAATAATAGGCCAGATGTTTCAGAAGGGAATGAATGGGGTTTGACATATTTCTAGACAACCAAAATTAGCCACTATCTCCCAGGTTGTTAGGGTCCAAGCATTTTTGTTGTCATGGTTAATCTATTTTATTCATTAACCAAGTATAGACAGGTGGCTTGGTCTTACATAAAGATAAAAACAAAATCTGACCAGAAATTTTTTGAAAATGTCACATAAGCAAGTTGCTTTATTTCTGTTAATGATTACGTATCTGAGCCTTTATTAAAATTCTGATTCGATGGCTCTTCCGGTCACTTTTTGCAAACTTTGAAGGCTTTCAAGCAGTGAATGGTTTGAAAAGTAGAGATTTAGAAGTTATTGGGCTTTGTGACGTTAATGAAGTGATGAGTCCTATGAATCAGTTTATTATGATGTTTGGGCAAATTAGCTTCAAGACTTAAATTTTTAAAAATGTCAATCACATGTTACCTGGATTGACTTTTGCATCTGATGGCCCAAACGTCTGGACTTAGCATCATATGCCATGCAACTGCATGGTCCAAGCCTAATTTGGTGCTAGTTAACTCACTTTATAGTGGGTGCCTTTCTTTACCCGGCGTGAGCACTCAGTCACACCCTCTTTATTTAGGGCCTTTGATTCATTTCTGTCTTGGCCTCTCCCCCATAAATCTCTGTATTTTGGAAGAACTGATTTTTCGTAAAAGTCTAACCTTGATTCCAGGTATCTTTACCTCCTTTTTGGGAATAGTAAGTCACCCATCTAAATTGTTCCCTCTTGGTTCATCCTATTTCTCAATTTCTCTCCTGTTTTTCCCACAGGAAAGCCTCCCTACTCCCTGAACCCCCTGGGAAAGTACCTCGTGAGAGTTCCTGGTTCTCCACTCTGAAGCTGCATTGGTAGGCTGGGGCTGGGCAGGCATTGCCTGGTAAAGGGCAAGTCTGCTTGCTCGATCTGTAGAGAATGCAGAGCTCGGGTATGATGTACAGCAGCAGGAAGACCCATGCATTGGTGACCAGGGCAATACAGATGACAGGGTCATCCCACTGGGGCTGCCGCTGGAACTGTGGGTTGCCTCTCAGGAGCATGGAGATCCACACCACCCAGATAATGATGGAGATGAGCACAGTGACGAAGATGAGCCTTCCATGTTGCTTCCAGTTCTCACATGGGCCACAGAAAGTGGCTTTGGAGACGAAGAATGTGAGGGCCATCAGGAAGAGGACATAGACCAGGAGCACAACAAAGTCCACGTTGAGCTGACAGGGTGTCATATGCATGAACATCATACCCCTGGTCATCATGAGAGTCACATACTCAGTGGCAATGATTATCTGCAGCAAGCTGACACCAATAGCAATGCACAGAATTGTTGTCCAAGAGAAGGAGACTCTGCCCCGGACCAGCTTCACCAGGTTGGAGGCATGAGCCAAGAGGCATGAGAAACAGAGAGCAAAGAGAACCCCAAAGAGAAAGTAGCGTACAGGGGCAGTTTGCTGATTGAACTGAGTGATGAAGGCAAACGTGAGGCTAAAGAGTCCCAACACACCCAGGAGGAAGAGGAACTGAGTGGGAAGGACATTCCACTGGCTGCAGTCTTGAACCCTTCGCATGAGGAAGAGAAACGCCAAGAGTAGGATAATCGTAACTACTATGCCAATTATTGCCAGGGACTCTAGAACAGTGCTCCATGGCCCCTCGTTGTCACAGAGGAAATAATAGTCCTCAGTGGACTTGACGCAGTCCTCATACATGGTGACTTGTAGGCGGACCTCACGAGAATGGACTTCTGTTTCCCTGCGGAAGAAAGATGAGACAAATTTCTGACTACATCCGCCCATAAGAGCGCCCATCGGGTAGTCCTATTTGGGCACTATAAGGTCTCTCATTCCCAAAAGAAGACACCTGGACATACTGGATACAACGTCCCCAAACTATCAAACCCTGAAATCTCGCCTGGCTCCATTCTGCTGGGAAAAGCAGAACAATGTCTACTTCCCGATGCTTCATCCATTTTCACGTCAGTTTCCACCAAGCCTTTTTGAAACCCGAGGCAGGATCATTTTCACAAAATAGGGTATGTGACAAAGGTTGCATGGTTGATGAGATTCCAGTTAGGTCGGACTCCAGAATGAGCACTGTCAACGTTAATGGATCATCGGATCATTCGAGACACTGATGCACTGCTTGAGGGAGACAGGCAGATCATTCTTCCTAGTAATTCTAATGGCCGTTCCTTCTTTTAACGTAAGGCAATCCAACAGAACATGTTATTGCTAAATACCTACTATTTGTTCATCAAAGACTTATGCAAAATGGTCCCTGCTTCAACTACCTTTTGGGACCACTGAGCACCAACATCTATGTCGTCACTGAGGCTGCCCAGGAAAAAAAAATTCCACACATTCTTTAGGAAAAAAGTACTTGGCAATTGGATACTTCTAGCTCTATTCCCCTTCAGTTATTCCCAAGCCAGATGGCTGGAGCAATCCTGGTTTATAGCTAAGGACATGGCCCCTTCGTTCCCACTTACCTTCTCTGTGTCCACGCTGGAAGCTGAGGTGGTAGTGGCTGCGAGGTTGTAACTGCCAATGAGTAAGAAGGAGACAATCGCAGCTTCTTTAATCTCTCCCCAAATGGGCGGAAGGCCCTCACTCAGGTTCCTGCAGTGCCTATAAAAAGAACCGGAAGGACACACCTATTCCAGTTTCACGGCAACTTTTCTCCAGAGCTTTCTTTGGTGAGAACAATTCTTTTCTTTTTTTTTTTTTTTTTTTAACGTTTATTTGTTTTTGAGACAGAGAGAGACAGAGCATGAACGGGGGAGGGTCAGAGAGAGGGAGACACAGAATCTGAAACAGGCTCCAGGCTCTGAGAGCCCGACGAGGGGCTCGAACTCACGGACCGCGAGATCATGACCTGAGCCGAAGTCCGCCGCTCAACTGACTGAGCCACCCAGGCGCCCCGAGAACAATTATTTTCTATGCTATTGCTAACTTGAGGCACCTTGGCCTTAGGGGGTCCTGAAGGTGACTTTAGGAAAAGACGGCTTCCTCCCCATATACTCCACTGTGTTTAGGAAGCCGCAAGAGGCCTTCAGTTGGCCTTACATGAGGACACTTCACTCTCCGTTTGACCTCCTCCTTAAAGAGCCATCTGGATTCTTCCCCACATCTTGATTTTGGTTGTGAGATCCAAAATAGTATCCATTTAATGAATAAGAGTTTTACTGGGCCTTAAGGAAGGGTTATGTGCATTAAAAGGGCCAGCGGTTGGCAAAATTGTGAATTAGGGGAAATTTGTCTTCTCTACGACTCTTCCCTATCCAGTGGAAGTCTTTCCTCAGGCTTTGGCTGTCCAACAAGTGTGGGCCCCTACCTTGACCAGCTCTTCCTGGTAATGCCAAAGGCTTTGGTACAATATCCTTTGGTACAATGTCCTTCGTCTCCTCATTCCTATCAGAAGACACCTGTTCTGGGTTTCATTCCATCAAGGCATCCCAAGGCCAAAGATGGAACTCACAGTTGAATTTACCAACCAATATTGGTGTAACAAATCCCTTTTCTCCTGTGACAGTGTATAATGGAACACATTAGTAGTGTCCAGCCTATACTGACCGCACCTCTACACCCCCCCAGTTTACTCCTGGGTTCTTTCACTGGGTATTTGCATTTTGATAGAGGACTTCCGAAGACCCCAAGTCAGTACTTGTTAGTTTGGTTTCCAGTCACTCTGCGATCTGGCCCTATCTTTCTCATCCAACTGTATTTCTTTCAGGTCTCCTGGCCCTATGGTTTATCCAGGTTGGTTTTCCCACTGTGCATAAAGAAACAAACTCCGGTCTGATTGCCTTCTCTTAGATGTTGTCCATGACCTGAATTGCCTTTTGCTTTATTTCCGCTGATCCTGTTCCCTAACCAAATACTTTCCCTACCTCTAAGATTTATCTCTTATTTTCTCTGTGAGCTTCCCTGACTCCCTTAATCCCTGGAGCCCTCACCACTCACCTCCTACCATGAACTCCAAGGCATGCTGGGGTTGGGTCTGTGCTCTTCACAATTAGTGGAAACCATACTTTCTGTCCATTTTATTTGCATCAATCGATTTTCAATAAATAAAATAATCAATGAATTCAAAATAGTAATAAATAATAAATGTATTAATTTATTTTCTTTGTATTGGCCTCACCCCCTTGATTAGAGTTATAGCTGCTTGGTGGGGGGTCAGTCTCCACATTTTATGCCCCCATAGCACCTGGCCATCCTAGGTGATGGGTGGATTGTTCAGCTGGGAGAGTCTAATGATAGAATTCCTGACCTTGTGAAGGCAGGTCTTAGCAGTGTGGTTTTCCAGCAGAAGCTTTTTTTTTTTTTTTTAATTTTTTAATTTTTTTTTTCAACGTTTATTTATTTTTGGGACAGAGAGAGACAGAGCATGAACGGGGGAGGGGCAGAGAGAGAGGGAGACACAGAATCGGAAACAGGCTCCAGGCTCTGAGCCATCAGCCCAGAGCCCGACGCGGGGCTTGAACTCACGGACCGCGAGATCGTGACCTGGCTGAAGTCGGACGCTTAACCGACTGCGCCACCCAGGCACCCCTCCAGCAGAAGCTTTTTAATGGAAACTACCAGCAAACAAGTCAGGACCTTAACAAACCCCAGACAAATTCATTCTGAAGTGGTGCTCTATCTTTAGAGACTCTTCAGCTTTAAAGAGCCATCCCCCCCCACCCCCTCCAGCCTTTGAGAGAAGAATATTCCAGGGAGGAGAGTCCTCTCCTTTACTTGCTTTAGGCATAATTGTGGTTTGTCAGAAACTGTAAAAGCTAATCTAAAGTTTACTTTAAGGGTAAAGAGATTTTTCCAGATGATGAAATGGGACATCCATGAGAACTCACTCAGAGAGCCTCGTGAGTAGTTACATTGCTGTCTGTAGAACAGCAGAGGATTCCCCATTTAATTCTTCCAAGAGAACTGTTCTGGTGACCCTTCCCTTTCCCCCCCACCCCCTCCCAGCTAGTTACTCATGGCCACTCCTCACTGTGGTGATGTTTCCATTTCCAGCATGCTTGTCTTCTAAGATTCTTCCTGAGCTCCTGATGGCTTGAGGCAGGTGAATTAATGGGTTAATGACCACAAAGCCCTTTGAGCATCTTAGATAAAAGAGCTTGTCTCAGGTACTAATTATTGCCATTCTAAAATCTGGGGTCATGGAATTAACCCATCTGCTGCCAGGCCTTAAGGAAATGAGGGCCTTCTTTGCCTACACACGTCCACATTACTCACATCTCCTTTCTTTTGGCTTTTATGCAGCAACGACATCTCACCAAACAGTTCAAATGTGGCTTTGATGAATCAGACTATGTTGATTATAACAAGTCCAATAAAAATGAAGACAAAACAGTCAAGAGGCCAAACGCCTTTTGCCAAACACCGATTTGTGTTGTCTCTTTCTTCCAGAAACAGACCTGGAGGGAATGTTAGAGGTCACCTAGTCTCACCCTCTCATTAATAATTAATAAGTAGGAAGCCAATAGTATAACATGAGAAATTGCATAGCAAGGAGGCAGAGGCCCAGAGAGACGAAGGGAGGTACCAAAGGTATGGAATGTTAGAGGGGATGGCCAGGGCCATCTGATTGCTGGCACATTCCTGCTGCCGTATTGGTTGTCTCCCTGACACTTCCCACCTCAGGAGGACAGGCCTCGGAAGAGAGGAGCACTCAGACATGACACATGGGTCATGACCGGAAAGAAAGAAAGATAAAAAAATAGATTACGAGAGTACGTCAGATGCTCGGCATCCTGCAGCACACCCCGCAGCCACGCGAGGACTGGCCGTGTGGTGCGGGGTGCTGGCCAGGACTGGGTTACCTGCTCATTTTGCTCACTGGCATCTCCAGGACCAGCTTCATGGTGATGCCACCAGGGCAGTTGCTCAGGGACTCCCATTCAGAAGGATCCCATGCTTCAAATTTAGCGCCTTGTGGTCACCATCTTGAAATTGTTAATTTTGTCTTTGTGTGATGAACGTGAAGTCAGATGAGACAATGGAGCAGGCACTGAGAGCCTGGAGCCTGGGGTCAGGCGTGATCCTGCCTCCCATTGTCTCTCTGCTTCCCTGAGACAGGTTCTTTGTCGCCTACTCCCTACCACCACTTGGCGCCCTGGGTCACTTGGCTTCCCCATTTCTGTTCCTGCCCCGTGACTGCTGGCACACTCCATCGGGGGTCACCTCTCCCCTTGCATTGAGGTGGTGGGCTCTTGGAGAGGGGGGACTGACTTACCCATGGCCAGGTAGGGTGCCACATTTTCATTTTGCACTGGGCCCTGCAAATTACGTAGCAGGCTTTGGGCATCTCATTAAACTTTCCCATATATGGTCAATTTAATGCATATAATATCGGGATGTTACGACTGTACAGTAGTATATTAATAGGATGTGCAGTTAGTTGCGAGGAACCTACAATGTTTTATCTGGGTCAGCAAAGTGTCAAGACTCAACTGAGTCTCATTTATGAATGAGCAGGGTAGTTTTTGGAAAGGAAATTATCCGACTTTTTTTTTTTTTTTCCCAGTTTGCAACTACTGTAACATTTTAATTGAACTAGTATACATTGCTTTCATATTGGGTTGTTTTATCCTCATTAGAAGAAAAGAGATGATGTGCAAAATATAGAGGTGTGTCAAGTTTAACTGCTGGATCTGGAAGCGTAAACACAACAACATTGAGAAAAATGTCGACTAAGCACTATAAAAAGGAAAAAGTAGAGGAAGGACCTTAAATATGAAAATCACCTAAACGTGATTTAATTAAACACGCAAAGCTTAGCAAAAACCACAGACTTGACACATAATTTTTAATGAAATTTACAGTCTGCTGACTTACCGGGGTTCAGCTTCCAATTTTTGGACTATGGTGGTGCCAAAGAGTAGAAACTGAGCTTCAAATTTGAATTTGATCTTTTTCCGGGCTATGTGCTGAGCAATCCTCTCTCCTGATGTTGGGTGGTGGCAGCCGACAGCTCCCGGTCAGCCACAAGATCATGAGGCTAAACACCTCCATACACTTAAAATCACTCTGCCCCCATACAAGCATTCTGTTTTTCAGCATAGTATTCAATAAATTCTATGAAATAGCCAACACTTTATTATAAAACAGGCTTTGTATTAGATGATTTTGCCCAACTTTATGCGAATGGAAATTTCTGAGCACATGAGAAGGTTTTTTTTTAAATGTTTGTTTAGTTTTGAGAGGGAGACACACAGAATGTGAGCAGGGAAGGGGCGGCGGGGCGGGGCGAGGTGCGGACACAGGATCCGAAGCAGGCTCCAGGCTCCGAGCTGATGCGGGGCTCGAACCCACAAACCGTGAGATCATGACCTGAGCTGAAGTTGGACGCTTAACTGACTGAGCCACCCAGGTGCCCCTGAGCACATTTAAGGCAAACTAAGCTAAGATATGATGCTTGGTAGGTTAGGTGTATTGAATGCATTTTAAACGTACTCTATGTTCAACATAAGATGGATTTATCAGGATGTAACCCCGTTGTAAATCGAGGAAGATCTGTATACCATAATATCTCATCAAATCTGTCTTATTGCAGAGCATAGAGAAGCTATGTTTTAGCATAATTATAGTCTGCTATAAATTTTGTGATTTAACTCGATAACATCACTGATGTAAGTTGCCAACACTTTTGGTTATATCAGATACGAGTGACAAGACAATTTTTATGGAA